GAAAAAAGAAATGCCCACTGTGTGCTAAGCATCTTTCTTCATAGTCATAAAGATAACAATTATCCGTGGGGATAACAATTATTCCCATTTTATAGATGAGAAAACTGGAGGCTCAAGGTGGTTAAACAAACTGTCTAAAGTCACAGAAACATCAGGAGGTAATTCTAGGATTGAAAATTCTGAAGTCCATCCTCCCAAAGCCTGAGTGCCCCACCTGCACGCTTCATGGCATCCCCACCTGGAAATGACAGACTCACTATTTCTTCTGTGTCTACACTGACTTTGACACAGATGGTCCCTTCTTTGCTCTTTCGTTCTAGAACGAGTTTTCCTTCCAGGTTTACAGCCGGTTTTGAATCTAAGAGTAGGAGTGACACGACACAGAAAAAGGCGAGAGTCACTTCAGAGACCTCGGGAACAAGGCGGTCTTTGTTTTGAACGGCAACTACCGTTAAGGCAACCTCCTCCTCTCTCTCCCACACAGGAGCTAACCCGTTTAAGAGGGAAGGCAGGACACCTTAGCCCCGGTAACCAAAAAAATCACCACAATAAATTTCTATAAAATTGATTTGTTCCAAAAAGCCAAAAAGACCTTTGGGAGAAAAAGTAAAAATAAACCTACAATTTCCTGGGAAAGTACATTCTAACAAGATGAGAGATAAAGAATAATTATTGCCCTTTCTTAATACATTTGGGAGCAGCAAAACAGAAAGTTGCATAAAGGATTATTTTAAAAGTTTCATACATATTATGCTGTCCTTCATGAAAAAAAGGGGGATTATAATCAGAAAAAAAAAAAAAGCCAACCATGTATCTGCTAAGTTCTGAAAGAGAAAGATAGGAAGAAAAAACTGGGAATGGATGAGATTGGCTACGCACAAGGGTAGGAGGAACAGGATGCAAATGGAGAAATGGCGACAGTCTGGTAGAGATAGAGGGGGAATAACATCTCCAAATGCATCTTTTTTTTTTCTTTCCACAAGCCCAAAACATAAGTAATCAACAGTGTGAGGGGGGACTCCAAAACCAGGATACCTAGCAACAAACACAGACAATATATTACAAACGCGTAATGGTTGAGGGCAGAGAGGAAGCAAGAACTTGGGCAAATGGTCTTTTGAATGTGCGCTACACAGTTAACAACCAAAGAAACTATACACAAACATGTCCCAGTTAAGGTATTTGTTTTCCACAGAGGTGCCAGTCTGCGATTCTGAGCACCTCATGTAGACATTAGGACTGTGTAAATAGGTACATGCATGGAAGATAACAAAGCCAGGCCTCTCACTGCTGGAAGAAGCTTCAGATGAGCAAAGGGAGAAGAGGCCTGAGCTAGCTGGCTGAAACCAGCATTCAGGGTGGTCTCCCGGCCTTCAGTACGCATGCAGGCTGACCGAGTTGTGTGCTTCCATGCTGAGGCATGCCCACTACTCCCACTAGCTCAAAGGGAGCAGTGCCAGCCTCCAGCACAGCACTAGCACCCAGACACTAACTTTTTAATACAAGGTTTCAATAAAAGGAATCAGAGTTCCTGAACTGGTTGATTCCTGGCTGGGGAGAGGAAAAATTTTGAGATGAGCCCAGAGCATTTTTATGATTCCAGCAAGTAAGTGAAAAACAAAACAAGGCAAAACAAACAGAAAAAAAAAAGGAAGATGGTGTGTTGAAAAGACATGAGAGCCAATCTGAAGTGTCCAATGGTTAAATCTTGACAATTTGAACAACAAAATAAGTCAGAATACTACGGGTAATAGTTTATAGAAAAAATAATATGAATGGGTCCACAGATACAAAATAAACAACTATATAAATATATAAGGTGGTGGGGTGGGGGCAGGGAAGGACACAGCATTGTGGTGTGGCAGGTTAGAGCTGTATGCTGGCTCCTTGTATCAGAGTGCTGGTTTAAGCCTGGCAGCTCTGCTTCCAGCTAAACTCTTTGCTCTTGTTTCTGGGAAAGCAGCAGATGAGTCTCTGCCACCCATGTGGGATATCCTGATAGAGTTCCTGGCTCCTGGCTTTGGCCTGGCCTACTCCTGGCCGTTTTGGTCACTTGGGAAGTAAACTAGCAGATGGAAGATCTCTCCTTTTCACTCTGTTTTTCTGCCTTCCAAATAAATGAGTAAATCTTAAAAAAAAAAAAAAAGAGAGAGAGAGAGAAGAGAAGCCCTTTATTACAGAATAACTCCAACTAATAAGTATGGAAGAAATAATGGAAACACAAAAATCGCCATTAGTCACATAACAACATGCATGTAAAAAACATTAACGAATGCTAAAATGAGTGTCATGTGATGTAAAACAGGACGTTTACATCGTCTCCTCCTATTTCCCTCTAATGAAGTATTTAGTAATTTAGGAATGCAGAGGAGAAGCATGGCAAAACTCACTTCCACACAGCGGCCTGAGTCAATATCACCAGTAATGATACGCCAATATCAAGTAGCTCTTGATAATGATGAACAGAGAAAGGCCTAATATCAGTTATGTGGTATTCTCCCCAAAATACTTAACCTCAATCGAATTCTGAATTCCTCAAATTGAGGAATATTCTACAGAATTTCCAGTCGGCAAATGTCAGAGCCATAATAAACAGAAGCTGGAAGATTTATTACACATTGAGGTGGACATGATAACTAAACACGATGCTGAGGCCAGAACTTGCCCCTGATGATGACAGCTAGCATGTGTAATCCTCTGGAGATGATTACCATGTTCTGCCCTGTTTAGTCACTTAATAATCTTGGACAATATATGTTACATCTTTGAACTCTTTTTTCACTCAGGATAATAAATCTTATCTCATAAGGTTATTGCATGAAATAAATGAATAAATATGTGAGACAGTCAATGAATTTGTTGACACACCAAGGAGTTCATTGACTAAGGATTCTTCAATGAATGGAACTGTTTTTTTTTTTATTCACTTAAAAAATATTGTTTGTTTTCATTTTATCTGAAAGAGTGACAGACAACATTGGGAGTTTCCATCTGTAGGTTCACTTCCAACATGACTGTAAGTAGGACTGAGCCATGGCATTAAGAGCCTGGAATTGGATCCATGTCTCCCATGTATATGGAAGAGACCCAGTGCTTCAGCCATTCCCTACTGAATCCCCTCCCAGGCTACTGAATCTGGACGGGAAGTGGAGCCTGGACTCTGGAAAGGACTGTGGGCATTCTAGTCCCACATTCTTAATCATTGTGCTAAATGACTGTCTGATTTTATTCATTCCAAGTTTGTAAGTACTGGTAGGGTGCCTGGCACATATACATTGAGCTAATATTTACTGCTAAGTAAAGTCAATATTAGATAAATTGTGAATCTAAAATTATTTTTAGTATATATTCAATGAAAAAAAAAAAGATTCACGGCTGGTGCTGTGGTGTGGCAAGCTAATCGTCTGCCTGTGGCGCCAGCATCCTGCATGGGCACTGGCCTGTGTCCAATCTGGTTCCCTGCTTGTGGCCTGGGAAAGCAGGGACGGATTGCTCAGGTCCTTGGATCCCTGCACCCCTGTGGAAGACATGGAGTAGACTCCTTGTTCCTGGCTTCGGACTGGCCCAGCCTGTGGCTGTTGCAGCCTTTGGGGAGAAAACCAGCAGGTGGATGGCATCTCTGTCTCTCCTCCTCTATGTAACTATTTCAAACAAAAACAACATATTTTTTTTATTGACTACATTGCATTATGTGACACAGTTTTATAGGCACTGGGTTCCCCCCCCCGCAACCCCCCCCCAAGGTAGATTCCTCCACCTTGCTGCATTACCACAGTTCAAATTTAGTTGAGATTCTTTCATTGCAAGCCTCTACCAAGCATAAAGTCAGTATCTTATTGTCCAGATAAGTTCAACGGTTTCTTGGGGAGACCATCTCTGGTCTGAAGGTAGAGCTAGCAGAGTATCATCCCCATCAATTAAAAGCCCCGACATTACATCACTAACAATTTATAACGTTATGGAATTTGTTGACATGGTATTGAGTAATCAATATGTTAAAAGAGAAAAAAAAAAAGAACGCAAGTTCGAACCACATCCTGTAACTTTTACATTGACATTTTAATGATTAGTTTATATACAACCAGGTTCTATACACCTTAAAATGGCTATAGATTACTATTCAGCTGTTTCATGTCTATTTTAGTTTTAGCATTTAGCAGTTTACAGCGTTGAAGCATGATTTTTCTGAACTGGGCTAAAAACAACATATTTTTTACACTGATTTGTAAGGTAGTTTTGTTTTTTTTTTTTTTAATTGGAAAGCAGACATACAGATTCATTCCCCAAGCGGCCACAACAGCTGGAACCGTGCCAATACAGAGCAAGGAGCCTGGAGTCTTTTCTGGGTCTCCTGCATGGGTGCAGGGTCCCAAAGTTTTGCGCTGTCCTCGACTGCTTTCCTAAGCCATAAGCAGGGAGCTGGATGGGAAGCGGGGCTGCCGGGATTATAACTGGCGCCCATATGGGATACCAGCGTGTGCGAGGCAAGGACTTTGGCCACTAAGCTATCACGCCGCGCCCTATAAGGTAGTTTTCAAAAATAAAGTTTTTAATATTTAAGTAAAAGGTTCCTGAGCCTTTAAAATTTGTAATAAAGGCAGTTTTAAAGAATAACATTTTGAATAACTAAAATTTGAAAGAGTTACAGAGAGAGGGAGAAACAGAAAAAACTTGCACCTACTGGTTCACTCCCTAGAGAGCCACCAACAGCCTTGGCTGGGTCAGGCCAAAGCCAGGTCCCCCACACGGGAGCAGCAGCCCGCACTTGTGCCATCTCTTTCTGCTTCCCCCAGGCAGTTAACAGAGAATTAGATTAGAAGAGGAGTAGCTGGGAACCAAATAAGCACCCATATGGGGTGCAGGCATTACCCTCTATGCTGCAGTGCTAGCCCTATTCAGGATGTTAATTTTTAAATATAGAGTTTACAATTTCCCCCACTTCATGCACGTAAATGGAACCCCACTGTTAAGGTCTAGTTCTCTCTTACAGCAATACTTACTTTCTACAGTTGCTCCTTCATTTGGGTTTGAATATCCCTCTCCTTTCCGTTTGATTCTCCGGATAATACCCGCATCTTCAAACAAATCCTCTCCTTTGAAATCAAGGAGTTCAACCTAGGAATGGGGGAAAAAAATTGGCTGAGGAAAGACCAATGCCACTGGAACCTTTTTTCACTTTATGAAATAAAACTCTGTTTTACAAAAATATACTCACAATTGCATCTTAGTTATTGAAAAAGTAGGGGGCAAAAGGACACGAGGCTTTTTTCAAATACGCAGAAAAAACGTCATGTAATGACAATGTCTAGCACTAGTCCTGCGGGGCCGCAGTGCGAAGGCAGACAGGAAATACTAGCAACACTGTCTTGTAGGCAAATGGCCAGAACTGCGAGGCGCTGGCACAGGGCTATGTTGTCTGACTTGAGGCCACCGCTTTTCCACCCAGTTTATGGCGTTGCCTTTGTAAAGTGGAAGAATAAACCTCATGCGTCTGGCTGACAACCACTGAAGGTGTGTGTTACCTGGTTAGGGTGGCTTTTAAAAATAGGTTTTGCTAAACATGTATGCAGTTCAGCACAAGATGAATAAAAACTCCACCCACTGCTGCTTCCTTTGACGGAGATCTGTGATATTAATAAACCTTGATAAGAGGAAAATATCTTACAGCTGCATATTTCTACATTCGTCTCCGACGTTTCCGTCCTATCTTCTGGTCACCTCCGAGTAGGTTATACTCAAACAACTAGCCAGAGCCTTTATTTCCAAGTCAAGCGTCTTTTGTTTATTTGGATATGACCTTTCTGTGCCAGAGACACGTTTCTAAGAAAGCACTGGCACACACTCCTTGGGTTTGTGGGAAACAATTCAAGAAGGCAGGCTCCAAAATAAATAACTTGGATCTGATTCCCAATCGCAAGCTTCGCTCCTTGTTCCACTGCCTGTTGCTTCAAAGAGAGCCCTAGAATAGAGCAGATGCTGATGAGGCAACCTCACGCACATACTTGCCTCAAAAAAGAGAGTCGCATTTGGGGGAATTTTAGGGAGACTGCCAGCTGAGCCATATGCATATTCTGGCCTGCATAATAAATGGCAGATCTCTCCTTTCTTCATGGTGGCCACTCCAATGTCCCACGCCTTGATAACTTGGCCTGAGAAAGAAAAATACAGTTAAAAAATCAAACAGCCCATATTTTAAAACATTTAGTTTGCATGAAACAAAAGTCCAAAACAGATTTCCAATCCTTCACAATATGTACTCAGCTAGAAAATATGGCCTACAAGATGGCAAAATTCAGCCAAAATTATATACAAAGAAATAAATCATGATTTTCTTTCCTCTTTTTTGGGGGAAGACTATCAGAGAAGATTCTCTGCTGGTTAAGATAAATGCAGTATCAATTCCTAAATTAAGTCTTTCAAAAGTAGCAGTAACAAAATCCAGAAAATGTGGCTGTGTTGCAATTGTGGCTTAATTTATCATTTCAGCTATAATAATAAACGCATGTTTTCTAGGCAAAGATGGAGCAAGACGAGTATAGAAACTGGACTTTATCCTAAAGAAGCTACAATTTAGTTGAGTAGACAAAAATAAGAATGGTCAGAAAAGCATGAGTTGTATCACAGCATCCACAAAACAAATTTATTCTCTGAATTTATAATCAGAAAAATGTTCCTTCAAACAAAATGAATGCGTTCTTTTGCCAATTCACAATTACAGGAGAATGAAGATGGTGGAAGAGGGTAAAGACATGCTTGAACAGACGTTGAATCATTAGCTGCTGGGGTCCGTGCAGTAGGTATGGATGACACGAAGGTGTGAAGAGAACAGCTCCCTGCTTGGCAGGGCCTGGGGAGCTTCCAGCTGTTTGGCAGGGCCCGGCGATTTCTCTCTGACCATCTTGACGCAGTCTCACCCCCTGTTTGCATGGACACTCAAGCACCCCACTAAGAATTCTGTAATCTATTGAGGCATTGTTTGCCCCTGTGAGATGGCTTTGGCAACTACTGTGAGCTTAAGAGTTAATGTTATTGATAATGTCTTAGTGAGTGGGCCTTTAACTGCACACAGGAGTACAATTAAAGCCATGCCATTTCTGGACACCTTATTGTGTACCTACCCATTGCCCTGAAATCGGGCCCAGACATATAGCATGCCTTCTGGGAAATGGCTTAACAAGAATCTTACAAACTAATGGAGGTGATGGGAGTAAGAGCTGAAACTGCTATGGCAAAAATATAGTTGCTGTGACCTTAAAGGTTAACCTGTCCTTGCAACTCTTTAGAGCATAGAAAATGTAGCTGCTTTAGCCGCTTTCATAATCTTTTAACTAGAGGAAATATAGGATGATTCTATTAACATCACAGAGATATACTTTTGATTATTGTTTGACTGCTTCTGAGGCTGTAGAGCCTGCAGTCGTAGGGGGATTTAATGTTTGAAACTTTTTGTCTTAGATCCTTATATTTTTTCTCTTTTGATGTATTTCTCCCATTATGTGATAGATAAAGTTGTGAAAATAAAATGTAGTAAGAATGTTTTACTAATTAGTAGGTAACCATCTGTGCCTTGGCCTTGGAGTTCTGGCTGTCACCTAGTGGCCACTTCTGAAGAATGAATAACGGCTTGCTTTAAAGAAACTGATTATAGTAACTTACAGAATTATCTTTAAGAGCACCTGGTTGACCATGAAGTAAAAATTAATTGAACATCTGTGCATGCTGTCTTAGTTCTAAAGTAAAAGATAAAAAAATCAAACGTTTGTGGAGCTGGACTCCGGCAATTAGCCAGGGTGAAGCAGAGAGGGCACATTCCAGGAAACAGGGGAGGAAAGGCTGACGGCAGAGGGGCACCTGGAGACTGACAGACACGGGAAAACAGCAGCTATGACAGTGTAGCGTCGCAGTTATCAGATACTCCCGTGGCAGTCAGCAAGCAGCGAGCTGAGTTCCATCAGTGGCTGGAGGAGCTCCACCAGCAGCCAGGTGGGAAGGAGGGTTCACCGGGAGCTCGGCAGGTGAACCCAGGCAAAGAACTGCCCACCCTGCTGATCTGTTTGATTTGACTAGGAGGAGAGACAGAACATCGTTTCTTCAAAAACAGTTTTCTTTTTTGCTCAAATTCTTCACTGACTCATACAGCATACAGTAGTATCATTTTCTTCAAGAATGTTCTTGGTTTTCTTTTTCATTTCCTCAGTGACACATTAGTCATGTTACTTAACTGCATGGCATTGTAAATTTCTATTTTTCTTCCTGTTGTTGACTTTGTTTTGTGCCTTTTCATTTAAGGGGGCGTATAGTAATTGTCTAATTGAGCCTATTATATTCAGATGTAAGGATACAATGCTGTGTACATTTCTATTTCCAGATCAAAGATGGACTCCCCAAAATTGTTTAATTTATCATGACAATAGGATGCTGACTCTGCCATTGTTTGTGCCTACAATGATGGACTTATGACTATTTATGAAGAATGATACTATTTTAGTAATATAAGGTAAATCAGTAGGGGGAGGGGATTTAGGGAACAGGAAAGGGAAATCCCAGAGCATATGGAACTGTATCATAAAAATATTAATAATAAAAAAGAAAAAAAATCACAATTACAGAATCAGAATATTTTATTTTTTGCCAGTTCAAGGTAACCACTGCTTAACTGTAGAACTGTATTAGGGTATATAATTATAATCCTAACATAAACAATTTCTATCATGTCCATCATTTATCTCTGGGAAACAGAAAATGTAGTCTGTTTCAAAGCACAAAATGCCAAGTTGAGGGTATAAGCCAGTCAAAATATTAAATATTTCAAGCGAAGTCAGATAGGCAAAGATACCCAGATGAAGCCAATTTTGAAATGAGCTGTTGGGCTGGGTTGAGAGAGAGAGCAGAGAATGGAAAGTTAGGGTAAGAGGAGAACTACACAGCAGCATTTTAGTGAGGTTGGAAAACATGCATTTGTTATTCAAGATTTCAGCTTAGTCTTCATTAAGCAGTACAACTTTAAAAACATCAGCTCCACTTACTTGAGTGAAAAATTTACATAAACACTTGCCATCATTAAAAGACACAGGAAAAATGTGAAGCAAAAGGTAGAAGGTCATCCACTACCTCTGAAGCCACTATCATGCTGTGTTTAAAAATGTACAGCATGGGGCTAGTGTTGTGCTTCAGCGTGTAAAAGCTGCCACTTGCTACACCAGTATCCTATATAGGTGCAAGTTTGAGTCCTGGCAGCTCCACTTCCAATCCAGCTCCTTGTTGATATGCCTGGGAAAGCAGCAGAAGATGACCCAAGTGCTTTGGTACTCAAACTTCAACGGGAAACCTGGAAGATGTTCCTAGTTCCTGGCTTTGAATTGGCTCAGTTCTGGCTGTGGCAGTCATTTGGGCAGTGAACGAGCAGACAGAAAATTCTTTCATTCCTTCTCCTCTATCCCTCTATCTCTGATTTTCAAAAAAAAAATAATCTTTTTTTTTTTTAAGTAAAAGACAAATAATAGCATCTTACATTTTTGGGAATGGATTGGTTTTTCATTTACTATGTATCTTGATCTTTCTCCAGTATAACCAAGAATGTGCATTTTAGAAGTTAAAAGTCAGCCTACTGTAACCTCCAACTCACCTCAACTGAAGTATCAGGTCTGCTCTTTACTACCTGCGCAAATTATTTAACTTTCTGTGACTCAACTTTGTCATCTGCGAAATGTTGATGGTAATACTAGTCTGCCATCGAGTTGTGATAGAATTAGTAAATAAAATGTCAAATACATGGCAAGGTTCCTGGCATAAAAATATATACTGAATCAAGAAAAGTCACCATCACAGTGACCATAACACAAATCGATTTATCTCATTCTCTTTTTTTAAATTGTGTTTATTTGAAAGCTTCTGTACAACAAAGGAAACAATTAAAGTGAAGAAGCAACCAACAAAATGGGAGAAAATCTTTGTACACTACACAAATGATAGGGGAGTAATATCCAGGATTTATAAACAGCTTCAGAAACCCAGGGACAGTAAAAAATAACATCCCTGTGAAGAAATGGGCAAAGGAAATGGACAGACATTTTTCAAAAGAACAGATTCAAATGGATAACAAATGAAAAGATGCTCAGGCTCCCATGGTAACAGAAAGATATAAATGAAAAAGACGTTGAGGTAGCACCTAACTCCAGTGAGGCTGGCTTATATTCAGAACTCTACTAACAACACCTGCTAGTTTGGATGTGGGGAGAAAGGTACCCTCCTTCGCTGCTGGCGGGAGTGCAGGTTAGTACAACCACTATGGAAATCAGTATGGAGAGTGCTTAGAGAATTGCAAAAATACACAGAAAAGTGTTTAATTGAAAGACAAATAGAGACAGAGGGAAAAGACAGATTTTCATTCATTGGTTCATTCCCCAGATGGCTGCAACAGCCAAGTGGAAGCTAAGAAGAAGGATCTCCATCTAGGTCTCCCAAGTAGCTGGGCCATCATCTGCTGTTTTCCAGGCACACTGGCAGGAAGCGGGATTGGAAGCAGAGGCTGGACTTGATCCCAGGCATACTGATACGGGATGTGGCTGTCCCAAGTGGTGGGTTGACTGCCTCTGTCACAATACCCATCGCTCAGTCTATATCACTTTTAATGGTTGTGTAATACTATACTCTCCTACAGTGACATAAATTGCCAATAGTGAGGAAACTTAACCATATGCTTGCCTACTGTATACAAGGGCATTTGGAGGGCAAATGCCCAGAAGTGCATGATGGTATGCATTTGACATTTTATATCTGTTGCCCAATTACTTTTTCAAAATGGCTTCCTCAGTGTTAGGCCCACCCCACTTGGCTCTACTGTGAACAGGCCAGAATTTTTCGAATACTCCAGGTCTGCTGTTGACAGGCTGCTTCCTGTCAGTCTGTGACAGACTGTGCTGCTGTATTGCCAGAATTTTTCTTTATTATTATTTTTTAAATGATCAATTTGACCATCTTTGGACAATTGCCTGACTCACTCTTTCAGGAAATGTGCATGTTGAGCAGGTGCCATTATACCTGTGCTCAAGATACTCAGTCAATTACTGAAGAGCAAAGGGCTCTATGGGCACCAACAACAGCAGGCTAGGTCACCCCCTTCTTCCCTTCTATGAACACGCAACATGTG